GCTTTTGTTGTTTGAGCTTGTATTTTTGCCTAAATTAATACGTTAATTAATGCTACATGTTTGAGGGGTAGTCATTGTTCTTTGGAATTCCATGGAAGGCCCAAGCAAAGATTCGCAAAGCAATGAAAGACAAGTTTAATGAGGAGGGTGGGGATGCAGAGGAGGAGGAGGAGGATCCAGATCGCAAGTTCAAAGAGGACGACAGCGGCAACGAACAGAAGGCTTCCAAACGTGGGAGAGGGCGTGGGAGAGGGCGTGGGAGAGGGCGTGCAAAGAAAGAAACAAAGAAGGCAAATACAAAGGCTGAGAAAGCAAAAGAAAAGAAGGGAGAAGAGAAGGAACGAGCTGACCAGGAGACAAACAAGACAGAAAAGCCAAAGGAGAAGACTGTATCTGAATCGATTGAGGTTGAACAGGGAGGCAAGGAACCGGGCAAGGAACCGGGCAAGGGTGACAAGGAGCAGAGCAAAAATGTCGCTACTCCCAAAAGAAAGCAACGCGCATTGAAAAGAAAGAGATCAACACCATTGACGCCCAAGGATTCACCTGCAAAGTCTACGAAAGGTCACCCGACAACCCCCAAGGCGGCCCCAAAGCGACGTGTGAGGAAGACCAGGACCCCAAAGAAGGCTAAGACTCCAAAGAAGGCTAAGACCCCAAAGAAAAGGAAGTCTGCAGATTCCAAGGATGGGCGCATCCGCATCTGTGGTAACAATCATCAAAGTGGCAGTTCTTTGAACTTTGAACATCTTTTTTAAACATCCTTTTTACATCTTTTTACAGTAACTTGATAGAGGAGCAGAATTGCCAGAAGCTCCTTGCGTGTGCATCACGCATGGAGTTCTTGACGCTTCCATCTCACGTCCAAGACAAGAAGCCAGTAACCCAGCTTGCTACATTTTGTGCATGCACACATACACACATACATGTGTGAACTAGGTACTTCACGATGCGAGCCCCGGCTGGTTGTCTTGGCGAGCGTACAGGGTGCAAGCTGGCGTCGATAGGGGTGCAGCTAGGGTCTGAGAACTGCTTCAAGCTTTGCCACATGCGCATAAAAGAATGAATCATCGCGACCATTGCATTTTCCATGCAATGAGGCTGGACCGTTCTGGAGGATCTTTCTATGTCTCGCCCGTGAAGGAGGAGCACTGCATTAAGGTGAATGGCCATCTCAAGTTGGAATGCCAGGTGGGCTACCCAACACAGTGCAGTATATCTTCCTGCGCACGTCCATAAGCAGCTCACCGCACACGTAAACACTGTAGAATCCATGAAAAATAGCTGATGGCCACCAATGCGGCTGAGTGGCAGGTGAACAACGTCAATGGCGTGACGTTGACCTGGTCCACTTTCTCTGAGGATGGCCTCCCGCCAGCAGCGCGATGTCCTCAGCTGGTCAGGTGCTTGCTTCAATCACTTTGCACCCGGTTTTCCCTGCATGGCTGGTGTCATCAGACTGCATTCATGACGCATGACCCCATCTTCATTGTTCCCATTCGTTCTGGACAAACACACCCAGCAGAATCTTTTGTTGGCACTGAGATGGAATGTGGCGCTGATGATGGCTGGGTGGACCATTGTTCCGGCACCTGAGGGCAATGAAGGGAAGGCAGAAACCTAAGTAGCTGGGCTCCCAGGATACCATCCTAGCCGGTCCTGCCAAATAGCGCAGTCAGAATTTTATAGCGTTTATACCAGAGAACTGGACTGCTATCTTAAGGATCTAGTTCTGCTAGTTAGGCAGGACCGTGAGTGGATGTGAGATGTTCGAAGCCGTGTGAAGCATCATTTGCTGGTGTGAGAAAACTGGAACTCGCTCTATCTATCTAGCTGCTAGCTGAGTTGAGCAGCAAACGTCAATTCTGCACATGCTTGCGCACGCTTTAAACTTGAAGCGGACAGGTGAGCATAGGCCCAAGAACCCAGGCATCCTTTAGAAGATTGGAGACTGGGTCTAGCCTTCAGAATGGCTAGTCCGTTAGGGTTGACACCATCATCCATCAAAATGATGATAGCGATGGGGCTACCGTTGATCATGTTTCTGGGTTGCAAATAATACAGTCCATTGATCTAGATAGCGAAAAGGACCTGTTACCTGGGCTCAGGTTACACCTTTGCGACTACATCGCGGAGAACACGCCCTTGACAAGCCCCATGAGTCAGAGGGTGCTCCCCTCAGTTCACACATGCTTCATGCAGCTGAGTTTGAACAGCCTTCGAACAAAAAGAAGTAATTTAGAGAAGCTCTCATTGGGGCATTGGGGCTCACCTTAGACCACAAAGCCTTTTTTCCCCTGTGTGCACCGTCGCCACTGAGAACCTCATGTGCCTCGACCTCTTCGCTGGCCAAATGAGTGTGACGGAAGGATTCAGCTAGGTTCCCAGCTAGCATGTTGTGCAGCTACTTCTCCAACTATCATCATCGTATTCCAATCCAACTACTGATCTCAAGGCGCTGAACTGCCCTCTGTTACAAGGCCAAGCCTCCATGCGGTCGTCAAACCCTCAGCTCAATGAGGAGCAGTTGAAACGAAGTATAGCAGCTTCTCTTCCTGGGCAGTTGGCACTAGTGCACTGTGCTTTCCTCCAAGGGAGCCGTTCGACAACACGATTCACCCCAAGCTCCATGACCTTGGCACTGTGAGCCTTGCCTAGTATCCTAGTTTTGAGACCCGGCCCGGTGCCAAAAGAATCTTTCAACTTCCGTCCACTCATCAATCCAAAAGACACGATATTTGTCAGCCAACATCGACACTCTAACTTCTCACCTCTGCCTACTGAGGACTGGTCTGATCCGGGCGACTCAGTTGACGCTCAGGCTTGCAGAGGATGGATTGTTGCATGCAGGACCGCCCTGCAATACATTTGTATGGGTCTCTCGTGGCAGCACTGGTAGAAGCAGGGACCAGCCAGAGGGCAACACTGCATATCCTTCAGTGGCACAAGGCAACTTGAACCTAGGCTGATTTAAATTCCAAGGGGCTGATTTCTGGAAATAGTTGATTAGATTGAAAAAGTAGTTCCCCGTACTTCAACGGGCCCATCCAGTTCACGCTGCCATGTTCACAAACCCACTAGAATCTTGTTGGCATTGAGGCTGGCATCAAGACTATGCCTTTTGCTGATCATTGCCTTCGCGCGGTGTGCCTATTTTTGCGTTGAACAACCGCGGTCGTCGATTATGAAGCACTATTGCCACTTCCAACTTGTTGCCCACCATCTAGCTGAAATGACTGGACAAGTTCGATACAGAATCCAAAACTTGTGGCTTAATGGCATTATGTTCATGCGCACGCTTATATTGACCCCTGTTTTTGGGCCAAGTGGCCATACAAGCTGAGTTGGATGGGGACTTTTGGCCATGCTGTTCCAAAACCGTCTACATGCATGGCAGTTGCGTGCCAGCCCAAGTTTCCAACGCTGCCAAAGCCACACGCCATGCCAGTGTAGATGGACCCACTGATAGCCTTCTCGCATTGCAGGCCGTGGGTGGGGAAGCTCTACAAGACCCTTCCCCGCGACAAGCAAAGGCGCATGAAGGCCAAGGCGGCCAAGGCCAAGGTGGAGATGGTAATTCACTACCAAGACAAGCGTGGAATTTGGAGGGTGTGTGGGGCTGAGGGATGAATTCCTTTAAGTGCTTTCATTAATGAAGAAATTGTCGAACTCTAGACGGTTGACTCATTAATTTGTTTTGCCGCTCATTAGGAAAGGTGGCCGTGGATTGAAGCAAAGCGCTGTATACCCCAAACGGTATGGCAAAGCAGTAGCAAAGATGCATGCCAAGTACATCGAACCTCAGCAGCTTTTGACCAGGTTCTCCACTCTTGAAGTCCGGGGTTCACTTTTTGGGGGGAAGCCTCCAATTGATCTGAGGAGAACAACCCTGGCCAAATCAGAAAGGAAATCTATGGCAACAAGATCAACCTGCCGGATGTCAAGTCCCTGCTCCGGGAAGTAGCTAGCCCTTAAGACCTCGACAAAGTGCTCTTTTTTTTTGAATTTGACCAGGTACCAAATCTCGATCTCACCGTCGCCCGTCGCCCAGGCTCCCGACATGCGCCTTTGGGATCCCGCTTGCTTGGAAGAGCTCCGGTCCTTTTTGCAACAGGAAGTTGCTGCAAACAGGTACCACCCAAAGCTGAAGTGTGGTTTAGATGATGACTAGGGCCCGAATGAAATTTGCTCACAAGTTCCGGTCACTGTAGGGTGGCCCCCTGCGGAAGCCATGATGTCCACTTAATTCCCTTATGTCGACTAATACAGGCCAACTGGGTCTAAACACCTAGCTTCAATTCTGTGTGAGCGTATTTGTGGACATACAATACTGTGCTGAGGTGATGTGGGTTAGCCACATGTGCACACAAAGCTTCTGCCATACTTGCGTGTGAGCTTAATCAGTGCAGTCAATAATTCAGGAAGACTGCAGAGATCACGGGATCACCGCTACCAAAGCTGTGAAAAGGGCTCATGAGATCTGATGAACGGAGGTTCAAGCTGTTTGAAAGAGGTTCCCTAGGCAATCATTGGGAGTATACGAGTTTGGGGAAAGTTCCTATGAAATCTAGGGACCATCTTGTTGTAGGAAGATGTCGAGTACTTAGAAGGCATATTTCAGCTTGTAGACAGAGGTTCATGAGAGGCCGAGGGCTGAGGGGGTCAGGGGGGCGTGGTCACACCGTGGTCACCGCGTGGTACGACTATTCTTTGGCGTGGTACGCCTAAACTTTGGCGTGGTTCGGCTAAACTTTGCCGTGGTCCGGGAACCCTCCAAAATCAACCATTTTGTAGAAAAAAATGCTGTGGAGATTGCAAATGGCTGCAAATGCATATTGTGACCGATTTGGACTCTATGTTGGTTCAGGGGTGGCTCATGCTGGAAAGTTCGCAATTTCTCACAGCAACGGTACATGAACCCAAGATGAGATTCTAAAAACTCATGACCTCAACAGGATGCACCTGGAACTTTGGCATCAAAGACCTTTTTTGCTGCTGCCATGGTGACCCAGGCAGCTGATGCATGTGCTGCTGCCAGGCTTCGACGCTCCAGGGCGTTGGCAAAGCTGAAAGGAGCGCCTGGGCGCAGAACGATGCGTTCATGGAGGTCATACACCTTCAAACTCCCTCAACTTAATTAAAATGATGGAAGAACAGAGCACAAGGTATTATGCACACATGCCCGGTAGTGCCAAAGTGGACTATGTTGATTAAAATACTACGAGTTTTACAACTGCACCTTTTGGATTCTAGACTAGTTATAGTGCTTGAACTTTTTTTGGATGAAGAGGTTCCACCCTAATCCCAAATTTGAACGCGGGCCCATTTCTCTTTGCAGGATCCAGCGATGAGCTTTCTTCACCAGGAAGCACGGTGGCAGCGGACGATAAGGAGGCGAGAGAGATGGCTTTAGCTAAGCTTGGGCTCTCCTCAAAAGAGCTTCTTGTGACTCCGCCAGCCAAACACCGTCGGTCTGAGAGTGCAGTAACCCGGTTATATAGTGCCGATAGTCAGGCTACATTGGTACTTGGGGCTGATACGCTCGAAGATACGCTCGAAGACACTCCCTCTCCTGAACCTATCATAGTTTCATCATCAGAGGGCACACCGCCTGGTTCCGGTAGTGGTGAGACACCGAGCACGGGCACGACTTCAACCACAGCCAGTCGGACTGCAGCATCGAAGTCCAAAGCAAAGAAAGCAGGTAAGAAGAAGAAACGTCAGACCAAGAAGATGAAGAAGGGAAAGAAGAAAGGAAATAAGAAGGGAAAGCAAGAGAAGACCACAAAGAAGAACGACAAGAATGAGGTGAAGGCAAAGCAAGAGGAGAACGGCGAGCAGGGGAAGACTGACGCAAAGAAGGCTGCTAACCAAGAGAAGAAACCAGATCACAAGGAAGAGGGGAACAAGAAGGGAAAGACGGATGAAAGTCAGATCCAAGAAAAGAACGGAGGGAAGCGAGAGCCTCACCAGGATGAGAAGGCAAAGTGTGAAAAGACAGAGGACAAAGACAAAGAGCACACGCCGCCAGCTGTCAGCCCTGGACCTTCAGGCGTTGACGATGCTTTGGGCCTTCTTGGTCGAGCTACTACAAGAGATTTGGCCCATGTGGCTTCCCCAAAGCCACACGAGCCACCAAAGGAATCTGTCCATGCTGATGCAACGGCTGCTGACGATGTCAGCGATGAGGAGCATGAACCAAAGGATCTGGGTTCATCTCTTAAGAAGCCAAAGCGTAAGAGGGATAAGGCTGCACACGCTAGAAGAATGCGCTTTTACAGATCTCTCGATAGCCAGAACCTCAAATGCGCTTGCTTCTTTCAAGCTGCCTTATTTTGACTATATCAACTGCACCCAAAACAAACATTATTATGGGGTGGATTGAATTTCACATGTGAGGCTCAAATCATCGTTCATTGTGGGCATTGGTGACAAACTCCACACAATCGATGTCTCCCATGTCGGCTCTTCTACTGGTGCTTTTGCCAAGGCACAAAAGCATTGCCAGAAGTGAAGCGGCTGGCAGAAAGGGCGAGATCAGGCCAGCTCAGTGTTACTTGCATAGCCTGGGATATGGCGGCTCACATTCCAGACTGCCGCACAGGTAAAAGGTCATGGGCTTTAAGGGAATAGCTCCGAACCTTAGCAGCCTCGGATTTTTATGTTTTCTATGATTCATCAACCTAATCCTCTTGGTCCAGCCAATCCACTGTCCATCCGTCAATTGACAGGTGGGAAGCAGAGCAAGACTCGAAAGCTGCAGCTACTCTTCGAGCAGTGGGTCTCTGCATCGGAGAAATGGTCATCGAGCAGTCTGGTGATTTCAATGAAACAGCGGCATCAAAGAAGGCACAAAGGAGGAAGAAGATGGCTCACCAAGGCTCAGATTGCCATCAAATACAACTCAAAAGAGCTGGCAGAAGAGATTTGTCATCACAAGGAAAGCGATGAATACCTTCGCAGCACAGAAACCAAGCCCTTTCCAGACAAACCTGGGCTCTTGCTGTACCTGGTATGGGATGAAGAATATGTGTCCGAAGAGAGGGACGAGGTGCTGGAGCAATTGTATGAGCTACGGGATGACTCGGAACCCAGACAATCAAAGAAGGACAAGAAGAATGAGAGTGGCAAGAGCAAGAGAAAGCGCAGTTCATCGTCAAGATCCAGTGGTGACTCAGGATCATGTAATGATGACAGCTCATCATCGTCTCAGTCCAGCTCATCTTCCAAGAGTTCTGGCAAAACAAAGAAGACAAAGAAGACCAGCAAGAGCAGCAAAAGTAAGAAGGTGAAGAAGGACAAAAAGGAGAAGAAATCTTCGAAGTCAAAGAACGGGAAAAACAACAAAGGCGATAGTGACGATGACAAAAAGAAGAAGAAGTTGACACCTGCACAGCTTGAGAAGAAATTGAAGAGCGATAAAGAGAAAGCTGCTAAAGCCAAGGACAGAGAGGAAAAGCAACAGCAAGAGAAAGAAAAGCAAGAGCAGCGCAATGAAGCAAAGAAGGCTGGGTCTTCGGATGTCAACTGCAGTTGGACTTGCGAATGCCTCTTTTGTATATCAACAAAAGCCTGCGAGACATGCCATAGAAGATCATAGAAGCTTTTTCCTTTCATGAAGTCAAGAATCCAACTTTTCGGACACATCCTACGGTTTCGACCTTGGTATGCTCATTATGGTCGGTCTAAGAGGTATAACCCGTTTGGACCACTTCCCATGTCCTCAACCCACCCTCCAAATCTAATCTTGCGCGGTCCAGGTACTTGGCCAGGTGTTGGCAGGCATCCAGGACATCTCGAAGCGGGAGGCGAAGTGCAGCTCCATGCAGCGACCTCGGATTTGTTCCAGCATGCCACCGTTGGCAGCATACCACAATGTCCATCGAAGCAAGGCTATAGTACAATGAACACACATGAACTGTGTGCTGTGTGCGCCAAACATGTCCTTTTCCCATTTATTCGATGATCTTTGTAAAGCTTAAAGGATATGTGCTTAAAAGAATGGGATATCAAATATGTTTGTCCATTTTCCAACCTCACCGATAAACAACCAAATTCTCATCGATATTCTTACAATGATCCATCCCCCTTCGATGTGACTCATGACTTCCAGTGCGGCACTGGGTTCAAGGTCGGAAAGCATGAAAGCGGCAATGACTGCTGAGCTGGCCTCTTGGAAGTCCAGGCTGGAGCAAGCGCGCAAGCCTCTTCTTGAAGCCTTCGAGCGCGATGAGGCTGCGCTGGCGGGGGCAAATTTTGAACCAAACCTTTGGAGGAGGCAAATCAAGATTATATAAGCTTTTTGGACTCGTGAATGGAACTTGCAGGATATAGAACAGCAAATTCGATCAGAAACATGTGAATCTAGTCTATCCTTCTTCTTGCAAGTCACGGAGAAATAACATCATGATAGACCGTTGCATTTGCTGCGCAGGTGTCTAAGATGAAACCATGTGCTTGCACGGCTGAATCCACTCTGAAGGCCTACAAAAATGCCAAGGCTTTGTGGTGATTTGTAGCCACCCGACATTTTGCAATTTCATCTCAGCGAATCGGTGAAAGACGCTGCTACTTCTCAATTTCATATGTCTAACTTTTCAGGGCCAATGGCCAAAGTTGAAATAGGTTTGGCATGAAACATGGCTGAGATGGGTGTGCACCATCACATTGGTGCTCAATCTCCTTGTTGGGCAGTGGGTTTTCCACGCTGCCAACACGTGTGATCACGTGTGCACGGCTAGTCACGCAACATCAATTGCAGTTCGTGTCACAGAGATGCCAGGGGAGGGATGCATCTAAAAAGGCCTGCGTGGCTAGCCACACATGCACACTTGTCGTTTTCTCCTTGACTCTACCGACCCCTTCGCAGATGATGACCGTGGCGCCCAGCCTTTGTACGCTCAACACGTTGCCGATGAAGTTGCATCTGGAGAGCCTTGGCTGGGTGAGTGTTGGACCCAAGTAGTGAACTTCTTTATAAATTATCGATCGTCTTTGTTATCAGCCATGGCATCAAGTTCCACCAATCTTAAATTTGATGGCCGTTCGGAATCTCATATACGTGAGATAAACCAACAGTGCTCCATGTGTATTTTGAATTGACCATGCATATGCAGATACTTTCTCACTGCCAACAGGCACAATCAATGCTTGCAGTCTCAGTCTATCTCCGTCTCCCTAGTCAGAACAAACCTTGAAAATGGTGCTCCGAGTGGTTCCCCTGTTCAATCCCACTTAAGGCTTCGAGCATCAGAAGGGCCATGCGAGGCGCCAAGAAGCACTTGTTGGCGACCGGGTCGCATTCGTTCCTCAAAGCAAATCAAATTGGCAGAAACGGCAGTCTTCGGGGCATGCTGATTATGTTTCACGGCATCTTGTTTTGGGTCTGGGGCTGGCTTATGAATGCTCCTTCAAGGAGAGTGGTCGAAACAATGTGCACCCAGAGAGCTATAAGCTTGGGAAATCGTCGAGGTGGAATACAGCCCGTGACTTTTGGAGATTTACCAAAGTGCCAATCGAAACGTGGCTCATGTTTCTACATTTTCTCCCGTTTTTGGTAATCGAAAGCTCGACTTTAAATGTTATAGACGGTGTTGTAGGTGTGCTGCCCTGGATGTTTTGTTATTGGCGGCAGTTCAATCGTTTAGCACAGTCAGGAAACAGTAAAGTTCAGGGCGCCTGTTCGGAACCCAAAGAATGATCGTGGGTATGACATGGAAACTCTTGAGATGCTGGAGCCATATGAAATCATCCGCTTCTTGTTTGTGGAAGTGGGGCTTCAGATTTCAATGGACAAGGTCCATGAGTTCTGGGATCACTATCGCGGCTTGGAATCACCATGGGCTTGCCACACAAGTGCTTCAAGAGAGCACATCCCACTGGGGATTTACGGGGATGCAGCCAGGATCAGGCAGCCGGCATTTGCTGAAGTACAAAAGGCCCTAGGAGTTTTCATCAGTCTTCCATTGTTTAGGCCTCGGAGCATCAGAATGAGCAGGTGGCTGATTTGGAGCATTGACGAGAAACACCTGTTTCGGAATGATACTTTGTATTGTGCACTCCGTCGCATCACATGGAGCGTCAACCTTCTATTTGTTGGCCGTTATCCACAGACGAATGCATATGGACAACCATTCGATCCGGAATTGGCAGGTAAAGAAATCATCCCGAACCGGCGCTTTGCGGTCACTGAACTCAGAGGTGACCAGCTATGGCACAAACAAGTGTGGAAATTCAGGGCAAGCTGGAAGGGTGGTGTCAATGAGTCTACATGTCATTTGTGTGAAACCACCAACGCGGGGCGGTTGGCTTACTACAGGGTGCATGAAGGCAATGAGATACCCGCAGAATATTCGTTGTGTGAGTTCATCAACAAGCAGTTGCCCCAGCATGATGTATGTACCCTGGGCTGAATTAAACCCGAATCAGTGTTCAGAACAATCTCGTTCATCCCATAGAGATTCATGGACTGACCTCCACAAGACCCTTCCCAATCCCTCTCCAGGTCCATTGCTTGGACTTGCTGGCTTTCATCACCATATAATTTCGTTCTGCTCAATGCATTCCTTGAACCTGGGCCTGTTGTATTCCATGAATGGCTGCTCTTTGAGTCTTGGTTGGCTAACCTGCAACCCTCATCACCGCAGAGTTTACTTCCTTTGGGGTGCGAATGAAAATGTGAATCTGAGCTGGTTAAGGATGGCATTATTGGAGATGTCATGGTTTGGGGACGCGCAGCTGCCGCTGCAAAAGCGGTTGGACAACGCTTTCAAAGACTTCAAGGCATTTCTGAAAGTCAGGAAGATTACTTGTTCGCAGCCCCCCTTCTCAGTGAAGTTGGCTACATGGTTGAGCATACACGCCTGTGTTTATTTATTTATGTGCGAAGTATGTTTCAACATGCCTGCATAAATATGCATGCATTAAATTGAAATGCCTCAGCAAGCTTGCGGCTAAGATTCTGAAAAAACATGACGAGATCTTGATGACGGGGAAGGCGTTCAACAACAGAGTCATATTGGAGTGGCTCGCTCATATCCTCAAGGCTGCCCGAATCAATGCTCCAGACCCCAGGGTTGAATACATGTTCCTTGCTATGATGCTCGATTCAACTTGGCAGTAAAAAACAAAGAAGGTACACTCACAGAGGTACTTACTGCAGTGCTGCGATTGTGTTCACATTCCTAAGTCCTGGTCGTGTACGGTTACAAATCATGGATGGCATGGGAATCTCAGGAACAGCTTGGCAAGATTCTTTGGCATGATGGAGCGCTGTGGCCGCTTTTTGTGACTCGGTGCCATCTGATGAAAGATTTCTGAAAGAACATTGTGCGGATCGAGGTGCTTGTATCGATAGATGTCTTCTTCTTTGGACCCCACAGCCCTACAGCCCAGCTTAGGACACCTTCTCAATCAGCTTCGCTTTACTCTGAAGGAATCACCTTTGTGAGAGCGCATCTGGTTCTATCTGACATGAGCTTCAGGCGTGGCTCCGTGTGAGGGTTTAGAAGCAAGGTCAACGACATGCACGCACACAAGAGCTTTTGCCAAATGATTTCATTCAGGGGCAATCAGAACCACTTCATTATCCGTCCAAAACTCCATGCGACTTGCCTCAATAGGCTAGATGCCCTCCTTATCTATGCAAATAAGAATCGAATTCGTGGCCGCCACAGTGGCCAATGCTGCGGTTCTCAGGTGATGATCCATTTTTTGAAGTCCATCAGACTTTACCGCTACTTGGTGTGAAATCGCATCAAGGGTGGGTCAAATAGTTAGAACATGCATGAACGCGGTCCGTTATATAAGCGAGTACAAAGATCGACATTACAAGACATCGACTTTAAACCCAGCGCTGCTGGACAAGGTATTAAATTGCTCATGCATGGTTGCATGGCTTCGTGTGAGCTTAATTGCCAAGCTTCGAGGTGCCAACCCACGACACTACCATTGCTTCCAGGACGAGGACGCCATGGGACTTCTCAAGGGCAGCTTTCCATTGTATGTTGTGGTGCTAGCACGGTGTATGGTATACCGGACTTTTTGTTTTGTCTTCTGCAGCGTGCTGTGCCTAGTATGTGCACATGTGGTAAAAGCACATCTGAGGAACAATACTTAGAGCCCACCCACTCCATCAACGTTCATGGCCATTGAAGATTTGTAAGCTGCGATTGTGGTCGATGAAGTGGAAAATTCAAGAGCTTCTAGGCTGCTTTTTGAAACTAGACTTGGATGTATACTAAAGCGAGGTGTCTTTCATGAATTCCACCCTCATATCCCGATCGTCCAGGTTGAACCACTCTGCAGCGTCACGATCTTGAAGTGAGGGATGCGGAGCAAAAGGATGCATGAATGTGGGTGGGGGGCGTGACCAGCGTGACCATGATTTCAGGTACATCGCCTATACTAAGTATAGTCTTTGGAAGCATAGGGTACAATATATTTATATATATATAGGTTACGTCACGTCCCACTTTTAAAGCTACTTCAAGTCGCATCCAGGTATCAGGTATACCCTCATTCTGAGCGCGCAAGCTGCGAAAGGAGAGTTGAGACACCTGATACCGAGATTCATAGTGACCCTTGGACCTAGGGTACGACTGGGGCCCCCATTTTTAGGAGTGCGAACCAATCGGCCAATCTTGGAGTCCCAAGTGTCTGGGACATGGAATTTCGGGCGTTGAAGAACCCTAGTTCGACTATTCCACAGGTACCTCAGTACTCAGTATAGGATCCTATATGAGGTCACATCACCTCTGGACAAAATGCATACCACGGCATCCTCACCGAGGCTTGCGTGGAAGACTTGAAGGCGGGCACCATGTGCCCAATGGACCCGATGGATGGATCATGAGCACCCCCGCCGCGGTCTCAAGGCCTCAAGGCAGAAGGCGGTCTCTACGTATGACCATGGTCAGGGGCCCCGAAGCAGAGAAGATGTCAGGGTGTCTCATATACCAGAAACCCTGTTTTTTGGTATAGGTATATATATATATATCGTTATACAATGCATGTGCAGGAAACTTACAGTGTTGGGAATTCTATATATATATATATATATATATAGTTCTATATGTAGTGACGAGATACCTCTATATATAGTCTCTTTTTGTACTTTGTAATCACATCGTCACATTTTCTATAACGTCGGGTCCAGGTATAGCTTTAGTGACTTAATGTCTTCACCATTTCGGTCATGTTTCACCACCGAATGGCCTGGTCGCGTCTCGTAGTCGGGAAGGGGTAACCCTTCGTGTTGCAGCTTGGGTGGGGACCAGCAACTGCCCAAATGTTTCAGCTTGCTTCAAGCTGACGCCATACAGGGTAATGCTGATATATGATGGCGTCAACCCTGACAACTGTGAAACGGCATTCCGTTATAGAGAGCCCAGCAGCAGTTGGTGTACCGCTGGCGTGTAGCATCCTTGGGGCCAACGCCTTGCCGGTCGCGATGTCTGACAGCAAGGCATGTAGGCTAACAAGTGGGCTGACGTGCTTGCTGGGGATGTGGTGGTCGCCCCACAAGTGGGGGAGAAGTTGTTCACCGGCGGTGTGGCACTTCTTCGGCTCTCGTCCATCACCGCGGGGGAGGCCACAAGAGTTCGCGAGTTCGCTCCAAACTGGTGCCTAGAGCAGTTAGGAGTCCAGTCTGTGGCCCTTAGGCTTGGGCCGGAGATGTTCTGGCGGAGCAAAGACGGCCGCCTTCAGACGCGGACCGCCGGGGTGTGCATCTTGACAGCTAGACCGCGGGCGTGGAACTTGCAGTTCTAGTCAGCAATCATTCGAGCTACGCGTGGCTTTGGATTTTAGGGCTAAGTGCATTTTCGATGCTCTGCGCCTCTGCGCACTCCATGGAACATACCGGATCCCACGCGGCCGGATCGCGGACCGCGGATAGCAGCGGACAGGATCTCGGATCTGCCGTCTGCCGACAGGCGGAGGCGACGTCCCAAAAGTCTGGATGGACATCGAAGCTGTTGGGTAAAAAGAAGAAGAGCAATCAGGAGGTGAAGCTTGGCGTGGAAACATCACTTGGCTCTGCAGGGATCATTCGGACCCTTATAGAACATGGCCATTTTCTTCGGAACGGTCGTGCGCACTGGGTGGTATACTGGGCATTCGAGTCATGTAGAGGCTTTCTTCCTCCGACATGTTTTCTCTTGACTGTTGAGGTCGTCTTGAAAGGACAACTGGCAAGGACAGCCCTGAACTATAGTGCAGGAGTAGTGCAGGATCATGCTGGACGACCTCAATGCAACGTCTCGTGGTGGCCACACCGGGACTCTTTGAAGAGTAGTGTTCAGCATTTTTCAGCTACAAACCAGTACGGTCCGGGCGGTCCAGTGTGCCACGGGGGCGCCCAGACCGGACGGGTGTGGCGTCCACAGCTCGAGTGTGTGTGAGAAAGAAGACTGAGGACAGTGGAAGAATACTATGCGAAGCTTTCCAAGAAGGTGGAAGCAAAAGAACTGGATCGCCCCTCAGCATGCCACGGTGTCCGACGATGCCCAACGGGGCGGTTGATGCCGTGTCTTTCGATGGGTTCCACGCGTGGCCCAGGTCCCAGGGTCCGGGTTCTTCTCCGCAACCGCAACCGACGTTCCAACGCGAAACCCATGCCACGCCACCGGCACGCTTGAGTCGAAGCTGCCGGTGGCCCATGTGCTAGGCGAATGTGGAGGAGTCCTCAGATCCGTCAGAGACCAAATTGGGGGGGGAACACATGGAGAATTTAAAGAGGGAGAACCAATCCCTACGCCTTCAGTCGTACCTTCGTTTCGTTTCAGTGGGACTGGGGTGGGTGCCATGTTCGGGTCCAGTCATACCTTCGTTTCGGAGGTACGACGAAGTCGGTGTAGGGAATGGGTTTTGCTCGATAATCCCTCATTGCCCTCGTCCGAGGGGGTCAGAGCGCCACTTCTGGAGCTACCTCCACAAAAAAGAGATCGACCCCAGCCTCGCACTTTGCTACGCTCTGCTACCGTCGGACGAGAAGTCACGGGTTCTTTCACGTCCTTCGTGGTCGATTTCGAACGGACGCTGCGATGAGGTGAGAAGTTCATTCAAGAGCTGCGCGCCAGAGACAAGTCCCCTGGCGAAAGACCGTCGCTCACCGTGCGTCGCGCGAGGCTGCGGCCCTCACCGTGTCGGTGTTCTTTTTTCAACCACCGGGGTTCACGGTGCGGCCGGGCACCGTGTCGGCGGAGGTTTGACCGTGTAGTTGTATGTTTCCAGTTGGCAGTACTATACAGAACATCTATGCGTAAAGCTTCCACGATGCATGTTTGTTTGTTATTTTCAATGTTTTTTTGGATTAGTTTGCACGCGAATGTGGTTTGGCACAAAAGCATGTATTGCTTTTGTTAACTGATGTGAACTGTATGAATATATATATATATATGTCGTGATTTTTATCAGATGCGCTGGAGGCTTTTGGATCAGCACTACGTGTGGTCCTGATCTATCCAGATCCGAGATAAAGGGTTCAGAGCCGTCGACAGGATCTAGGATCCAAGTTTCGCTTCGAACACATGCAGCTAAAACAATCCAAAACTTGGATTCCTGTACCCGCCTGGTGGGATAAGCAGTGTTGTTTTTTGGCAGATAGAACCCACTTTCTCCAAGTCTGGTAGTCGATTTATGTTTTCAAAATTGCAGACCGCCGACTAGTGTACTTGATGGACTTTTTCTCCATGCAAAATGGCAAAACCTTACATTTGATGTCCCCAAATGATTCAGGCGAAAAAAACATGTGGTAGGTGATCTACCCAGGAAAATGGGATAACCTGCAAAATCCTGCAAAACCTTTTTTCGGGGATTGAGCACCCCCCACTAAATATGAACATTTGTGTGATGCTTTTGGTGCTTTTCTCTCAAGTGGAACTGAATGAATCAACGCCCCAGGGCAAGGAATCGTGCGAAGAACGCGGAACGACGAGAGCAGTGGAAGAAGGAGCAATTCGTGACTTATCGAATCACTGGGGGGCGAGTGAGCTGTAATTTAGGGTGTTGATTGGTTTTGGCGGCAGAAACATGGGAGAGTTGTTGTTTTGCTTGTTTTGTTAGGTCAGCGGAGTTTATAGAGCCCTTGAATTCTCAACTGGACAGGTTCACAGGTCTGATACAGTTCACAGACGACCCTCCATTGGACAAATTGGACAGCCCTATTGTTTCTTCCCCTGTTTTCCTCGCCAAAGTTTGAGTGACAGGTACAAAACATGCGACGTCGTTAGCTATGTTAGCTCGAGGCCTCTGCAGATCTGCGGAAGTTCCTAACGTTGAAAGAGTCAGAGTCTGCAGATAAATACGCTCTTCTTCGGATCTGGGAACGTTGAAAGGGACCTCCCCGGCAGTTCCGACCTCCCAGGGCCCGGGTAGACGGATCTCGTTTCTTTCTGGTCAAGGCCTGCTAACCTGGTCGGCTCTCCCAAAGTGAAACACCCTGGGCCCGGTATAGACGGATCTGATCAGATCGTCGGGGTGTCGAACTGCCTGGGAGGTCTCCCTATTGAAAAAGTATACGCCATGTGTGAAGGAGACTGACTGGTAGAGTTCTTCATCGCTTGTGTATTCGGATAGTTTTGCGGATTCATGAGGATAGCTTCTTTCCATCCGGATGTGTGCGTTGCACTTTTTGCAGCGGTCACGCCCTTCCTATACCACCAGCTGGAGCATCAACCCGTTGGACTGGCCGATCGGGGCAGAGGTGGTTCAAAAGCAGTTCAACATGTATAGGCATTATGTATACACCAATGTATATAATTGTGTACCAGGACCTTCAAAGTTACCTAACTTGAGATCCTAGAATGAGGTCACTTAGTCCCTAAAGAGGTCACTTAGAGACTCCAAAGAGGTCACTTTGAAGGTCCTGGGTCCTGGATATATATATATATACCCTACACATCCAACGACGCAGTTTTCCTTGGATGTACGAAATGCGACGCAGTTTAACGGCATCATATGTTATTCGTCGCTCAAAAACTTCGTTAAGACAGTTTCGTTAAAAACGTGTTAAAAGTTGATAGATATATGTCTTAATTAAGTCCTGGCAGCACATTTTTCAACAAATTACTTTACTTCGAGTGATCCCCACCATGGCATTTCAAAACAACCACGTTGACATCAACCTTGTTGTGTATTTCAGCCCATAGCACAAGTCCTTCAGCGCCAAGTCTTACTGTTTTGTCCGAAGCGAATGCTTTCATCAGGAGACCTGCGCCCAACTAACAATACAACTCAGATCATTTCAGTAGTAGTCGTACTGGGTGGCCCAAGTGGTAGTATTACTATTTATTACTATTTGTTAGTAGTAGTGGTAGTGGTAGTGGTAGTGGCTGTGTGTTTGTGGTTGTGTGTTTGTGGTTGCGTTTGTGATTGCGTTTGTGGTTGTGCTTGTGGTTGCGTCTTTGTCGTTGAGGCTGTGGTTGTGTTTGTGGTTGCGTGCTTGTCATTGCGTGTTTGTGATTGTGGCTGTGGTTGTGTTTGTGGTTGTGCGTTTGTGATTGTGTTTGTGGTTGTGTGTTTGTGGTTGTGTGTTTGTGGCTTTGTGTTGGTGGTTGTGTGTTTGTGGTTGTGTGTTTGTGATATTGTGTTTGTGATATTGTGTTTGTGACTGTGTGTTTGTGATTGTGTGTTTCTGGTTGTGTGTTTCTAGTTGTGTTTTTGGTTATGTGTTTGTAGTTGTGTGCTTGTGGTTATGTTTGTGATTGTGTGTGGTACTGGTAGTGGTAGTGGTAGTGGTAGTGTTTGTAGTTGTGGTTGTGGTTGTGGTTGTGGCTGTGGTTGTGGTTGTGGTTGTTGTTGTTGTTGTTGTTGCTGTTGTTTTTGTTGTTGTTGTTGTTGTTGTGTCTTTGTGTCTTTGTGTGTTTGTGGTTGTGTGTTTGTGGCTGTGTGTTTGTGGTTGTGGTTGCGGTTGTGCTTTTGTGGTTGTGTTTGTGGTTTGTGATTGTTGTTGTGTGTTTGTGGTTGTGTGTTTGTGGTTGCGTGATTGTGGTTGTGTGTTTGTGGTTCGTGTTTGTGGTTGTTTGTTTGTGGTTGTGTTTGCAGTTGTGTGTTTGTGGTTGTGTGTTTGTGATTGTGTTTGTGGTTGTGTGTGTGTGATCGTGTCTTCGTAGTTGTGTTTGTAGTTGTGTGTTTGCGGTTATGTTTGTGGTTTTGTGCTTGTGATTGTGTTTGTGATTGTGTGTTTGAGATTGTGTGTGTCTCTGGTTGTGTGTTTCTAGTTGTGTTTGCGGTTGTGTTTGTGGTTATGTGTTTGCGATTGTGTCTTTGTAGTTGTGTTTGTAGTTGTGTGACTGTGTTTGTGATTGTGATTTTGTGTTTGTGATTGTGTGCTTCTGGCTGTGTTTGTGGTTGTGTGTTTGTGGTTATGTGTTTGTTGTTGTGTGCTGTTGTTGAGGTCCGGCGGGGAACACTGGGCGCGGATGGTCGTGGTTGAGGTCCGGCAGGGAACACTGGGCGTGGATGGTCGTGGTTGAGGTCCGGCGAGGAGGGGAAGAAGAAGGAGGAGGAGGAGAAGGAGAAGTCAGCTAACATAAAATCTAACAACCCTCACCTGGCAGGTGGGGAAAAACAAGTTCAATAGCGCCTTTTTACCTGCACCATGCGTTGTAAACATCCACACGCGCCAATCTCGTCTTGGCAATCGCAAGCTTCACGCGTGCAATTTTAACCGCATACCGCTGAGTATGCTGCCCTCCAGAGTTGACGATCCCTGGCTACACATGTGCATTGCAGGGGCTAGAGTCACAGTTTTTTATATACAAAACTTGTTTCTTTAAAGTTTTTGTTAAACAAAGCTTCGAGCAAGGGGGGAGTCATGCTACAGTCACGCTAGAGTCACGGTAGAGTCACAGTTCTTTATATACAATACTTGTTTATTTAACCAGGCTAACGCCTGGCAGCCGCCGACCCCCAGGGAAGTGGATGGCCTAGGTTTAATGGGTTAAGAGTTTTTTCGAAAAATCGGGGCACCCAAAAAACAACACGGAACCCCTAGAGACATGATCTGTCACTGCATCACCAAAGTAGGCAGAAGAGAGCACGGCAAATGGGTTAGCATTTTTCTTTGAAAATCTGGGAACCCAAAAAACAACATGGAGCCCCTAGACAACCACAGAACTATCTAGAAACACCAGAGAAAAAATCCTGGAAAAACCCTCGCAAAGGCATGAAAGGCATGAGTAAAGCTTAGAAAAACCTTAGAAAATCATAGAAATCCAGCGGAAATCGTTTGCAAATGGAGGAAAATGGGTTAGCATGTTTCTTTGCAAATCTGGGAACCCAAAAAACAACACGGAGCCTTCACAAGTACCTAGAGAAACCAGAGGAAATGCTGGAAAACACCCTCGCAAAAGGCCTGAAGGGCATGAGTAAATCTTACCAAAACCTTTGAAAATCCTAGAAATCCAGCGGAAAACGTTACAACATCTAGGAAAAACCAAGGGCACTGGCAGGGACCAGGCTGCGACCAGCCCGGGATTCGAGCCCGGGACCATTTAGGGACCGTGCTTATTTTCCCGCGCGGGTGGAGAGGGTGCCCCAATCCCCAGTAAGAAGCAAACCAATACATTTGGCAAAATCTTGGACACATCTTGCGCAACTCTTGCACAAATCCCGGGTACTTTTCGTCACTGCAACAAGGCTCCGGAGGGGTAGGGGAGGTATAGCCTTAGCCTTAATCATGGCCTTAGCCTTCATCAACAGCCACGCCTGACCCCACGAGTGGGGTCGGCGGATTTAAAGTTTTTGTTAAACAAAACTTCGAGCAAGGCGGGAGTCACGCTAGAGTCACGGTAGAGTCACGCTACAGTCACGCTAGAGTCACGGTAGAGTCAGAGTTTTTTATATACACAAGACTTGTGTCTTTAAAGATTTTGTTAAACAAAACTTCGAGCAAGGGGGGGAGTCACGCTAGAGTCACGGTAGAGTCACGCTACCGTCACGCTAGAGTCACGGTAAAGGGGTGAACGTGTAGACTGGCACCTGCTCACTAATTTAGGTCCGAATTAGCAAGGCTCCTCCAAAGGCATGAGAGGCTTGTAGGTACCACCCAGCTCTTTTGCCTTTTGCCTTCAAATAGGGATAGACCTCTTTATATATACAACACCAACGAGTTAAATATAGAAAAAACTTAGGAAAATACGATAAAAACTTTCGAGTAACAAAAGTTTTTGTTAGTCACATTTTCTTGCAACTTTTGTGGAAAATGCGACGCAGTAAAACGGAGTCATTGATCCGTAAGGATAATACATATATATAAATATATCAGGAACATTCAATGGGTGTGCATTGGGCACCCCCTTAGCACCAAAACTCGGCACCCCAACACGCATCTTGGGCTGATGATCACCCATTTAAGAGTTATGAGGAAGAACGCTTTCCAAAACCAATCCACGCACCCTCTCGCCCATCTTCGCACCCCTTCACTCTTCGCAGGTTGCGGCGAAGCATTCTGTTCGAATCCGGCGCATAAAACACGGTCAATAGCCACATCATCCGCAGTTCCCAAGAGACACCCAATGTATCCTAGTTCATTCCAAGCTGTGTCCCATAAAAGAATCTAGAAGATATCTATAGCTCAACACGAACCAGCTCGCCTGTCTACCTTTCCACTCGATCTCCAGCCAGGGCCATGGCCGTCCAACCAACCGGCAAATTGAGTCCAACCGGCGCGCACATCCGGATAGAACCCCTGCCGGTTCGTACCCGGCTTCCATATTGTTGTGAAGAAGGAAGCTGTCCAACGGTGGTGTGATGGTGACAAGCGGATGTTTATAAAATGTTTGCGTGTATCACGTGCTCTCCGTTTCGTAGCGTTCGGCTGCAGCGCCTGCTGAGGTGAAGCTTTCCAACTTTGTGGCAGGTGCGTGTGGCGTGTCTTTTCGTTGGCCGTTCACGCGTTTGTTGGACCGCGACCTTCCAGGGGGATCGAGCGGTTTTGCTTCCGGGCATCACCATGTCCGCAAGACATGTCCGCAAAAAAACGTTGGACGCCCGGTTGGCCCGGTTGGGGTTTCTATGTTTTTCGCCTTCAAACGTAGAGAGGTGATTCGGGGTGTCCGGAAAAACCCACCGGACTCCAGGAGGTGGATCCTGTTTTTGTTCGTACCGGGTCGCCGGTGGAACTGGGACAGCCACGTGGCGGTTCATGTTCCATGCAACAGCCGGGCGGCGTTTTTTGAAGGTGTAATACCCGTAATACCTCCAGGGTGATAGGTTTCCAATGCCACAAACTTCTTGAAGTGTTCAAACAAGTGCTGTTAAAATACATCCGAAACATTTTGCAACATTGCCTCTCTTGAGGTCCAGGTGCAGCAAGCCACCGCGCACCAAAACATGTTTGTGTTTGGAACTGTTCAACACATGAATTCTAAAGTTCAACTTACTTCCTGCAGACTAGTTAAAAATTAGCGTTCCAGTTGTTATCCAATGCTTGAGAGCTTGTGAGGATGTACATAAAGCATGTTTTAGACAATTCAGGCAAAACCGCTTGGATTGCATGGTTGACCTGTTTCATGCTTTGCCGGACGGCTTGCCACAACGAAAGACGGGTGTTCTTTTGGACAGCTTGCGAGCTTGAAGCGCTGGCGCGCGCCAGGTGTGGGTTCCGCCGTAAAGGATCTGCAAGGGAAAGACTGCTGCAAATGCCAAATGATTCTCGGCTCCCCTCATAGCGTCCGATCGCTCCGTTCGTAGCGATGCCAGGAGCCCCTAGTAGCTTCTTGTTCCTAGTCGTACGGCCAGGAGCCCCTAGTAGCGTCCTTGCTCCTAGTAGCAAGTCAGGGTGATTCATCTTTCATTTGATTTGACATGTTTGGGGGCCTTGGACTTGAAGCATAGGCATATATAGGTGATTCATGTGATTGACATTCTTGCCAGTTGGATGCATGCTGACTGTGTTGTTTGATTGTTTGAAGCAATTACCTATACCATATAGGTTGTGTTTCAATCCCCCCAGTATGCTACAGTAGCTTGTTTGTTGTCCTTTTGTGATTCATTGATGCCTACGTCGTGAGTTTGATTCGGATACATGTTCCTTCACATTATCATCTCACCACGTGTCAGTCTTGGTTTAAATCGGACATGAAGATCACACCCCGTCGGGAAGCAGCACAATCTAACGACATCCGCGGATGTGCTCAACGGCTAAACATGTCTTTTCGTTTTGAGTGGGGTTGTAAATCATCAAGGAATCAGGACTTCTGTCGACTGGTATGAACATGCTCCAAACTCCGGAATTTTTCGATCCTTGCCTTTTGCCGCGGGCTGGGACAACTCGAGCTCCAGGATTGAAAAGAACAAGTTCAGCTTCCTCACTGGAGGGACGCTGGTCACGGACTTTTGCTCAGCAGCAAGTTGTGACAGTTACCAAGGCGCCGAACATACCAGGACGCATGGGACGGATGGTCTTGAAGTTCGTCTCAGAACAGGTCGAGATGGCGTACGTTCACATGAGACACCACAATGTACCCCCCAAAACCCATGGTTTCAAGAGGCCTTGACACGCCCAAGCGAGGTCCACACGAGAGTTGATGCGTTTCCAAAACATTGGCCTTTCTTTTGGCAGAAGCTCATAGTCTATTAGCAGCTAGCAGCTGAAGATGGCCTTTGAGATGTATAATCAAAAGTTGTATTTTTACTCTCCCTGGAACTAACATGGTTACGTGGATGGCACCACCTGTTTGGTCTGTGGATTGATGGTCCGAACATCGGGGGCCTTCCACGTCCTCCACGTCTTCCGTTTCCTTCCGGGGCCTTTCCAGGGAGTGGTGTGTCCATGAGTCGGTCAGGCTTGTCGACACGAAACACCCCGCGTCCGTGGAGCCGTAGAGACGTGCAGCACGACTGACGTTCCAATCAGAAACATGGTTTTTCTGTGCCCTGGCCAGGTAAGTGCAGCAAGACCAGCAAAAACTTCTGCAAGAGAAGCACTGCATGCCCAGCAGATCATGCATACTACGCACGCGGCGGAGATTAGCCACTCGGTCGATCTCGTCGACTCGTCGTGATCGGCTCCGTCGGCACCATCGACGGTCCGTCCTTTCTTCGGTGTATTCCAAACTGAAAGAGGAACGAGTGGCTCAATGTGGCTCGCACACTCACTCATATCATGAGCGTTCGGACGCGAACCGAACGTAGCTCCTGGCCTTACTGCTAGTAACAAGAAGCTAGTAGTAGGAACATTTTGGACATCGCTACTAGGAGCGTACACACAGATTGGAGCTTTTGAGCCGCTTTTGAGCGACTTGAGCCTCTATTTGTGCTTTGGGGCGACTTGGGGTTATAAAGGCGACTTGAGACCACCTACCTCATCAAGTTGCTCAAGAACGGAATCACTAGCCATCACTTCGGCTTGAGCACGAAAAATGTGCAGCTCAATCCCGGAATCTGTGCACATGCACGTTGTAGGCACCTGAAAGAGCTCCCCCATTGACCCAGAGGCGCAAGAATTTGGAACTTCATAAAGAAGAGTCCCACTTAGCGTAGATTAGAACCTTTTTTGCGACGAGCTCAAGTCTCGAACTTCTAAATGGTATTCCGCATGAAGAGTACAGTACTATATATGAGTACAGCAACATGGGATGGTTAAAGTCGCCACAAACATTTTATGGGAGTACAAATCCTCATGTATTTGATGACAAAGTGAGTTTTTTTCTGTGCTATAGTTTGGAACACGAGTACCCACCACCAAGTCCACTCCACTTTGTCGTCGCGAGACTCCCCAAATAGAAAGATCTCTCAACATCAGCTGTCAGAGCTCTCCATTGTCCGCAAAAAGTGTGGCCAGTGTGGCCCATCTTTGGGAGCTCAGGTCGGATGATCTGAGGTCGCTGCGACCGATTTTTTCGGAAAAAGCGGCCTCTCACAGCTGCCAGGGTGCAAGCTATAGCACCTTAATAGCTTTTAGTCACGGCGTGGAGCATTTGACACATCATTGATTTGCAACATGTTGCAATCGTAAAGGCAACAACATGTACGTAGTCAATACCTAGCCTATGGCACACCCATGGACCCATGCAAAGGAATGACTTTGAGCATCCGGCGCTCAGCCAATCGCTAGCTGCAAGGCAGCCACTGAGGGATTAGTTGGTGGTGTCCTTGTTTGAATTCTTTGTTTTGAAGACTTGAACTCTGACTTGCCCACACCACATGTAGACTGATCACCTCTCCTGGACCAGCGTCCACGCCACATCTACCATGCAGGTACATATTGGCTGGTTGGTACCGGCCCTCTGCCCTTCTAGGCGCTCTCGGTTCTGTAGCAGCCTGCCGCAGCTGGGAGCACGAAGAAGTGACGGCCGGTGGCGCATCGACCTCCAAAGCGACTGAGGATGGAACTCACCAGCGTCTCTCATCCGAGTTTTGCTTGGAATTGGTGCTCACCAGCTTCTCTCGTCCAACGAGTCACGAGTGAGTCGGTGGTCAAACGAGTCACACTCATCGGTCGCAGTCGTTTGGTGTCGATGAGCGCTCTTCGTGTCGTTCGCCACATGGCCGGACGGGTCGGGATCGACCTTTGACAGGTCGTGGGAAGAGAGTGTCAGACTGAACAGACACCACGTAAGGACAAAGGGCATCGCTACCAACGGAGCGTTCGGACGCGAAGTGAACGTAGCTCCTGACATTACTAGGAACAAGAAGCTACTAGTAACATCCGAGGGAGCCGGGTCAACGGACAGAGTTGTGCACAAGTCTACGGCCTCTTGCCCATGTGGATCCCACTCATTGTCACTCATTATAGTCCAACCAGAACCAGGCAACATGGCTAGATCCTCAATTGAACGCAACTGCATCCACGTGTGATGCGGACATCTTTCTGCTGTTCCGTTGACCAACATATTCGACCCGTGTTCAAAATATGTCAAAATTATTCAAAATTAAGTCCACAAAGATTTTCCAATAATAGTTGAATCTACTATATATATATAGTTGAATTACGTTGAACTGGTGATCTAGCTGATGTAAGTTTCCTCAATCGTTCGGGAGGATGCGGCACTCGCCTTTCCTCAGCCCTTTTGCAGGTCTCGTTCTGTTGAGCATCTCCTTGGCACCCGTTTTGAAGGCTCGTCCATGCGTTCCATGCGCGCGAAAGCGCCCGGGGCCGAAATGGGTCAGATCCGGAGGGTGCGGGGCGAACGGTACTTGCAGAGCTCTGCAAAAAAGCGAAAGAACACAGACCTCACATGAAAGAGCATGCGATGCGTTGGTTGGGGTTGGTTGAAGACCGAGCAATTGTAGAGAAGGCCCAAATGTATCCTTAAAGCCGTCTAAAGGGTACATATATTTGTTGTGCACATCTAGCACCTGGTTTGTTGGATTTGGTCAGAACTAGATGGTCACTTGGTCCATGTGTGCCAGACACAAGGCAAAATGGTTTTGGACCTCACCCTGCTAACGAAAGAAGAGGATGGGCCAAGCCCTCATGGCTTTCCACGTGGCTGAAGTTGCTTTGAAGGGTGGGTTTGTCAAGTGAAACCTGTCAAGATGTGTGCGAATTATTCAATGCTAATGAGGTTTGATCGTTTGAGGTCTACCATGGGTTGCGGATGTTCAACGTTGTTTGTGACCTCAAGCATGTCACATGTTTGTTCATTACATGGCAAATCCGCCGAGGTCATGGCACCGCAAAAAGCATCCGTTCATCTACTTGACGAAAGACATAGCTGTGGATGCTGTAGCAAGGACTCGACTCCGTAATCTTCCAACCTTTGAAACCTAGCTACGTCCCGTCCCATGAAATACCATGATCTATCCCTAGCGCTTCTGGCCCATCTCAGAAGGTGGTTAGAACCCCCTGGCACCCACCCCAAACATCGAACCGAAACGGAGGTGGGCCAGGAGCCCTAGGGTATATAGGATCCTAACGATCGACCCCCCTCTTTCTGGAGACGAAACAGGCGTTTCGGACCCTGTACGTTCAACGGCAAGGCCCCTGATCGTTCCACGTGGGGGCGTCCCCAGTTCGGACCGCGGACGCGCGGTCCGGGGTGCGATCCATGGAGGTTCGGAGTGCCCAGCTACTCCACTCACTGGATGGGACCAAACACCACCCCGTCTTGTGACTGCTGGTGTATAGGTTTACTGTTGAGGCGCCGTCGAAGATCTTGGCAGCCAATGAGCTCTAATCAGTTGGACTCACCGTCCCGCGTCTGGGACTTGCCTGTGCTGTTCGTCTGATGGAAGACCCAAGCAGATGTTTCATGCCAGGACCATCCTGTCCGGAAGAAAAACCGTACTGCTGGGACCCCGGCTGGACTACCCTACACATCCCTACACCACTGGCTGGGGCGTCACCACAGGTCCGGTCTTCTGGTGTGACGTTGACCTCAAACCATCGGCGTTGATGGGGCACCACCGGTTCGGGTGTGCTTCCCGTGGTGTGCGCCTTGTGCTTCTGTGTCCGGCGGACCGGTAGGACTGGTGCCGATTCCGCAGGGCTTTGGACCGGTCATTCGGCTTAGGCCGGACCAGTGGCCCCGTGCAGGCTGGAGTCACAGGATGAGCGTGTTCGACCACACTTCAAACAGCGACCCCTTCCATCCGGTCTGGAATTCGAGACCTCCCAGTTCGACCACCTGGAAGAAGGAAAATAGTCCAGTCCATGCCCATTGGTTGGCTCTCCCCTTTAAAATATATAGACCCATATGATGGTCCAGGGTCATGTCTGGGCCTCCACGGTTTCTTCTCCCTTCGCCCGTCCTTCAGCACCGGTGCAGCTTTCGCCCAGCGTCCACGACACCGACCGCATCGACTGGGGGCGGTGGGGTCGAGAACCGAGCGTCGGGCAGAACGAACGACCCACCGTGAATTCGGACTGCAGGAAGCTGCGAAAACGGCCATCCACTGGTTTTTGTCACACATGACGTGGACATAGTATGGCTCGCTTTTGTTGGTACAATGACATGACATAGCATGACGCAGCATAGCATGGCTCGCTTTTGGTTGTATCATGATTTGATTGGATTTTGGTTTGGCCACAGGCTAGAGTTTTGGCCTTTGTGTGTACTATCCTTCTTGCACCATTTGGCGTGACGGCGTCTGGGTGTCATTTTGGATATGTCAGGATGCGTGGAGCAGGGGGCCCAGCTGGGAGGATCCATGAAGGTTGAGGCCCACAGACGGATGAGGCCAACCCACCATCATCAGAAAGGACATATACATTCCATTTCCATGATTCAATTCCTGGCTCCTCATGCATAAGATAGGAACTCAATTGCTAAATCTTAGAATGAATGCTTTTGATCATCCTCGGATGATCGTTGGTTGATCTAAATACAATACAACATGCGATCCTCCCGGTCCGCGTTTTGGAGCAAGTCATGAAGAGCCCTTCCTTTCTCAATGGTTTCGGGGTCACTTAGGCAAGATAGAACGATGAAATGGAAGCTACCACCAGTGCAGTCAACAGTAAATTGGACAATTATACAAAGACTGAATGATTTTCGAGACATCCAGTGCAAATACGCAGGACCAATCAGTGCATGGAATAGTCTACAGTATCACAACACGTGCCTTGAATCAGCACAACATCGGCTTGTTGAGCCCCAACACGAGAAAATCCTGCTCTCTCTAGTTGCCCCAGTTTTGTTCTACAATGTGCCCACCAAAGCCGGTTACAAGTTGCAACACCAGGTTTCCAGCTTCAAGGCTTTACGGATTTAATCCTTCAATTATGCACACAAATATGTGACAAATGATGTATCATATTATATATCCTGAGTTTCCTTTGTTTCAAGCGACTTAGAGATGTGACAGTTCTGCGATCACCACCACATCACTTGATGCGATCTTCAGCTAGGCTGGGACCCATCCACTGAGGCCGAAGTACGTGGGGTTGACACCACAAGAGGTGCGAGCCTGACATGTCGACTGAACAGTCGTGAGGGCTATACGGGATGCCCATTATGGGTTGATTGGCCTTCAGAAGGCAACTCAACCCATGGGCATCCCGTAATTATAGCATTTCACAGATTCAGAATGCATTTCTGGACGAAAACATGTGAGAAGACTTTGAGGGAACGTTCCGCATGCCATCTCAAAGCTTGATCAGACTGTAGTGACTATAGCCCATTGTGTATGAGGTGTCGAGACGCCAGTCAGCACCAAGTGACGATGTAGAGATTGAATGAGGGTGGAAACCCCCTCGACCCAGCGCCGAGCCGTGCGGATTCCGCGACCCCAGCGAGCCGAACGTGCGGTGTGACCCGAACCTGCGAGGTGGCCTTTGCCGAAGAGGTCTTACACGAAGCTCGAGAGAAGGCTGGACCTTCGCACCGGACCGGGTGTTGAGGTGGCTGGGTTGGAAGACGAGCATCCGGAAACAACAGAATCGGTCGTTGTGGAGGTGTACTCCAACGTCCGAACGATTAGGAGCATTCAGAGCATTCAGACAGACGTAGTTGAAGATTAGTGGAACATCAACACCTGTGGCTCCATCCATCGTTGTGGCTTTGAAGCACCTGAAGCTCTATCCTCTTTTGGACTCTTCTGCTTCGATGCCAACCTTTCCTAGTTGGAGAGACTTCGAAGAAAACAGGGAGCCCGAGAAGATCGGAACCTTTTCAATGAAAGTTCCACTCTTCACCACCATCGGAGCCCGATGCACTGCCCGCGACGCTGGACCCGAATCCGGGAGGCATCGGTCGAACCCATCGATTTGGTGGGACCGGTCCGGGCTGTTTTCACCGGGGAAAATCGGAGAACAGCGTGCACGGCGCCAATTCCACGCTGCGGCCCGGGTGGTCTTGGTGGAATCAATGCATGTCAGTCATGAAAGTTTTTGTTCCAAGCAATCGTCTCACCATGGAGAATCCCATAACCTTGACAACACCAAGTCTGAACTGGTGGCAGAAATGTTGAGTTTGCTCGTGGAGGTGAAAGACCCATCACAACGAGTGCACATGTCTCTTTTGAATGTGCCTCTTATGTACTTAGACGTACTTTGGGTGTGAATTGTGCAAACGATTTGTAGATTAATGTGGCTTGTGTTTGCCTGGATGGTCAGGCGCACAGCTATTAGCAGCTGCAGAAAACTGTTTTCTGCAGGGTTTTCACTGCTCTGAGCCACCAACTATCAGGGTCAACATGTGCAGACTGTTCTTTTGATGGGATTGTTAGCCCAAGACACTGGAAGGGCCGGTGCCAACGCTCAACGCGTGCGGATTCGAATCCCATGTGCTCAGGTGCCAATGGATCAGCACGGCCCTGATGCAGGCGCCAAGGAATCCGGGAAAATGGTACACGATGGCCAACTAGGAGCTGCAGCAGCTTGAGATATACAGCAAGCTTGTAGAAAGTTGTCCTGAAGATTCTTGCGGATTGCAAGATGAGGGCACACCATCACAGCTGCTTTAGGAACCCTGAGTCACCACCCTGAGATAGAAAACTTGATTACCGGGTATTTCTTGTATAACACAGCTGTTGAATGTCGACATCCTGCACCGCCTTCAATAAGCACTGGTTGATGCTTCACAGTGCGTTTTGTTTGAACACTGAATCCAGGCAGCACGTTCCTTTTGAACACTGACGGGCTTAATTAATGTTGCGAAGATTTCTGAACCTTACTAGCTTGATACCCATTTTAGATACTTGAACAAATGATGGGTATACATTTGGACCCCTAGAATCCACCACTGACACTTCCAAGTGAAGCCTCATTTTTGGCCCGGAAACCCACACATCTAAAGAGCCCAGCTTCTGGCCCCCCCCCAGCTCTATCCCCCCACCCAGCGCCTCGCGGAACGCTCGGAATCCGCGACTCGCTCAGGCCTGGTGGCTCCGGCGCTGCGAAGGCTGCACGAAGTCGTTGAGGTTCGGAAGGGGTCGTCGGTCCGCTGACGGGCGGTGAAACGGCGCGAGGGCAACGACCACGGGTGAAACGGCGGGAGCGTGATGTCCGATGTGTTGAGTCCGATGGTTTTATGTCAGATGTGTTGAAGGAGCCCCAATCAGACCCACTTTGATACTGGGTTTCCATGAATCTTGGTTTCCATGAGCTAAGAACCGGTAACTCAGGAGATCGTCCGTGCGCGGTCGGTGGTGAGGCCAAGGGGGCTCCGGATCTAGAAGTCACCAATGTATAGCCGTATAGCTGTAGAGGAGATCGTCCGTGTCTGGTCTTTTTTGGTGTCCAGATGTTTGGATTTTCGATCATGTTGCTACAGCCGCAAACTCGTCGATGGCAAAATCGCAAACTCGTCTTAATAACCAAAGCCAGCATTTCCTCACATGTCCTCGACTCTGCGTGTGCCACGCAAAAGGCCCTGCGGCCCAGGCCCTGTGTCATCCACGACCCTTCAAGTCGTGACTGTCCAAAGGGTCGATCCCAGCGGCGGAAGAGGTCAGACTCCGGTCACGAATGGCTCAGGTCCTGGATGGAGACGTCCAACATCGTTTCTCCAGGTTTTGAGGGGCTTTGTCCCTTTGTGTTGACTCAGTTGACCTTTGCGTCCAGTTTGGCCACCGAAGACAACCCAGGAGGCGGCCGCCCTATTTCCAGCTTGCGCTTGCGCCCTCCTCTCCTCGCCTTTGCTCCCGCTTCCCTGCTTCTTGCCCGAGCGCTGGGACAAGCTCGGGGGGGGCGGCTTCGCAATTGTGTGCAGGGGCCGCTTTGGGGCTCAGCAGGTGGTGCTGAAGGTGCTCAAGCAACAGACAGAAGAATTCGCAAAGCAACTGAAGCACGAAGCGCGGACAATGCTTCTTTGCGCGTGCCCTCACGTAGTGACCCTGATTGGCACAGTGGGGCCCTGCATCCTCATGGAGCCGATGGAGTGCGACTTGCGTCCGTCTCTACAACGGGCTGTTGCCACCCCAAACACTTGCAGCCGTGGCACGAGACATTCTCATGGCCCTGGTGCACATGCGGCTGGGCATAGCCCACAGGGATGTGACATCCTGGCATCAAATCAAGATCCGCCATTCACGACCAAGTTGGCGGACTTTGGCCTGGCAGTCCACACCCGCGCAGGCATGCTTAGCGAGCCAGTGGGCACCTTGCCTTTCATGGCTCCAGAGTTGTTCTTGCAAAGGTGACAGTACAACACGAAGGCAGATGTGCGGTCATTTGGCTTGGTCCTCTTTTTGTGACTGCCTTCGCTGGAGCGAGCTGCATGGTCAAAGCAACACAAGCGCTTGAGGCTTTTAGCGGGCAGCTGCTTAGAGTGCAAGCCTGTACAGAGGATTACAGCGATGGAAGGTTTGGGCAGCTTCCGGGCATAATGTTTCTTTCGCAAGGTGTGTCACAAAATGTTTGAATAGCGCCTGAATATGGTCGCGCTTGAGCATGGCAGGTTGCTTCTTTTGAAAAGCAGTTTTTGTTCACTCACCTGACTCACATGGGTGAGGCAAGCCCGGGTCTTCAACAAGTGACAATGGGGTATTGAGCGTCATCGTCGCCGACCACCATGTTCAGGCATATGCGGTTCTGTGCACATCTCAATGACAATGAACATAGACTCTGGGGGAGTAAAAAATCATAGAGTATAGAGGGCAAATATCGCTACCCTTCAGAGTAGCTAGACTCGACAATCATCCCAACCCCTTAAAAAATCAAAATTTGATCAAATGAACACATGTATATATATATATTTAGAAACCGGGATATATCCAGAAACTCCAGGAGGATCAAATTTGAGTAGGAAAAAATCTTCCCAATCCCCCTTCTTTCGCCACCGGAGAAGATGAACACCCCGACCAGGCCGACGACTTCGAGGCACTACCAGCGGCGATCAGTGCAGCAGAGGCCTGGAATGTTCCGTGTTCAGTGGTGACGACCAAGGCCTCTGAAATTTTGTTTTGTTTGCTCTCCGAACGCTACTCACCATTATATAAAAAGGTCGGGTTCTCATTTTATAAAGCAGCAGCCTGTGGGTTTCCATTTTATAAATGATTTTTCCTTATACAATGAAATCACGCATCCCAGAGACCTCCACAAGGGGGATGGTTCATGTAAAATTGACTATGGATGCAACATATGTGGGTTTTCTTGAGGGATGCAGTCGCACATGTTTCTTGCAAAGCTGCCGAGTACCATGTGGCCAGAAACGAGGCGATGGTGAAAGCCCTTAAAGACAGCTTTGCGCTTGCGAAAGCAGTTGTTCGTCCCATGATGCAAACTCATGCTCCACCAGAACTACACATGCATATGATCCAGTACTTCAATACCTGCAGTCTCCAAGGGCCTCGGAACATGGATACTATATCTTGGTATACCAGCTTTTCAGGCCCGGGTGTTGATTGGCCAATTGGTGCTCGTGGCTAGGTCAGGCGGATATATAGCCTAGGTAGGCAGCAAGTCAGACGTCGCTAGGTTCGCGTGATCGATTCGATCTAAGTCGGATCTAGGTACATCCGCATAGCGGGCTATGAGCGGGTTGGAATGGAATGGAATGGGGATGGGTCGTGACCCACCAAGGAGCCCACCCGACCAGTCCGGCGAAGCGAAGGGCAGCGAAGCGCAGAGCGACACACCAACGACACGATCGGTAGATCAAAGTGTCAGGATCCTGGTGCTATGTGGTCACATGCATAAGTTCACTCGAGAAAAATGGATATAGAAGACATGGATGACTATAAAGGGTTCAAAGTGGTTTAGAAAAATGGATGACTAAATCTGGTTCAAAGTGGATTGAAAACGTTCGAAATGCATTGTGTGAGCCGTCCGCCGTCGTCCGGTCAACCGCGTCCGCGGAGGCCGTGGGGGTAGAGGTCTCGGAGCTGCGCTTCGCGCGCGCGGTGCTGCAGCAACGGAAGGAGCTGCGGAGAACCAAGGCCTCGGAGGCCGCAAGGGGCGGCTGCTAGGGCTGGGAGGAGGTGAGGGGGATGGTGGAGCTAGGACAGGTTTTATTGGAAAGAAACGATGAGGAGAGAGAGAGAGAGGGGTTTACCTAAAGTACAGGAAATTTGAAGGTTTGTCAAAAACATATACCTATGAAGTGCTGACCGACGCTTGGATTTGATCTAGGGCCTAGGGTCACTCAGTGAATTTACCACCAAAACAAGCAAGCTTGCGAGAAGAAATGAGATTTATATATAGAATACATAATATATGAGAACAAAAGGGGCCAATTAACAACGGACCTTACAAAGGCAGACCCGACATGAGCAGTTCTTTATGACAAGACCGGTCTATCGGTCTCCATGACGGTCGGTGATCACCACAGCCGCACGCTGATCAGGTGGATCGGGTGTCACCGTTGCTTCGGTGAAGCCACACGCGCTTGCGCATCCGTTCTTTGGAAAGAGTGAAAGGTATAGAGACAGGTATAGACAGGCAGATGTGCCGGGGTGAAGTGGAGGCATCGAGTTAAGACGGGTGGTGTGTCGGTTTTCATGGGTTGAGGGTGTCGTGACCTCCGATTCTTGGAACAAAACGTTGTTCTTTGCTGCCCAATCGCACTCCGGTGTATCAAGAGAAATGCTCAGATCTTGCCATTTGTGTATATTTCTTGTTGAGATGTTCCCCACTTAACGGCTTCTAGCAGCTAAGCACTGCATGCTGGCTTTGCAGCTTGGCATCAAGATGACCAACACGGCGTTTTTGGGATTGCGTTTGTTTTAGAGTGTAGGGGAATCATGTTTGATCAGGTCTGTGCCTGCCTGGTAGTGGCATTTCACAAAATCTCCAGCTGTCCTTGCTGATTAGCTTCATAGGATGCACTCACCCACATCGTCCGAAGATGCAAATCGCGCGTTGCACGCGGTGAGGCATTACAACGCGTGGTTGCTTCGGGCTTGGGATCCTGCAGCAGCGAATGGGCAGCGGCGGTTCAGGGGTAGGACGCAAGGAAATCTCTGAAAACCTGAAAGGTGTGACTCAGCAGTCTTGTTCTAGTTGAAACACTGAATCGACCAAATCTCAACAACTTGGATCTTTGCCTGATGAAACAGATATCATCAAATACATTCAAACCAGCTACTTCCTTTCGGGGTCACCAATGGATATCTCCACACTACTTACAGGTCTCCAGACAGGGCACCCCGACAGTTACCACTATACTAGGTCTATGGGTTTAGTCTTTGGAACCACTGGTTACCAGCGACATCGTGGTAACTGGATGCCCTGGGATTACTGGCATTGTTTTTTCATGAAATCCCCGGAAGAGATCGATGTTCTCCACCTTGTCTTGCTATTCTCAGGCCATTTGGCCGTCCGCCAAGGCTCAGCGACCACCGCGGTGAAGTTGACCACAGCACTGGCGATGGCCAAAGTGGCCGGGGTGTGTTGGGCACACTCAGAACCTCAGGTCGTGGGTCGGGCGCGGGAGGTTTGAAGAATTCGGAGCGGCTCGGCAGGTGTGCGAGGATGGGGCGAAGAGTGAAATGGTATCTCGAAGATATGTACCCCAGAAGTTCTTGGTTTGGAACATTGTGGGGGGGTTCCAGGCCAAACATGTGTTTGTTCATCAAACGCATTGATATGTTTTTAAATATGTCAGGGCCTCTCGTCTGTGTCATCATGGGTTGCTTTTCTCGAGATTAAACTCCTTGTTTAAATTATAGTAGAGTTTTTCTTGGCAATTCCATGTTTAGAAGGTTGGGAGGCCCTCATTTTTCTCACCATTGTTCTCACAATAAAGGGGAGATGCCAAGTGCCGCTCGCCAGGAATACTGACTCGCCAATAGATCTAGTTAAATCTAGTGATCTTGGGGGTTGATTCTGTGCATCCCGGGTTTCAACATGTTTGAATCAAATTGCTGTAAAATGGATAGGACAAAAAGGGGAAACACACTACTGCAAGAGTTGTATATAAGCGGACGCACTGACGCACTCTGCGAGTTGAACGAGTTGAAACCACGATTGCAGACAGTATGGATGCATGTTCAGGCAAGTTACACGGCTTTCGCAGCCTTCAACAATCCTTGCATTCCATTGCTCCATGGCATGAAATTGAAACGACACTTTGTTGGGCAAGTCAATCTCAATGCATGAAGAGTTGGGGGCATTCCACTTCAAGGCTTGCAACGCTCATGCCTGCAGCAATGTCATGTAAAACACGTAAAGAGCCACACATGAACAAACCTCGAAGACACCAATGACAACAAGCTTCTGGGGATTTTGTTGCTTGACAATCGCACGGTGGTGTTAGCAATCTTGGTGCCAGCATGTGCCAGCGTCCTGTGGGATCATGAATGCTTTTGGTGTGCAAATCTTGTTGAGCCTGTGCAATCGCCTAGTTGTTCAGGTCTGCAACTGCCTGGCGCTCATGAAAGGTCTGGTTCTCTACCCACTGCCCCGTTGCCCATGTGGTTGAAAATGACTGAACCTGCTCCTTCGCTGATACGTACACTTCTCCATCCATCCATCCATCCATCCATCCATCCATCCATCCATCCATC